GTGTGTGTGTGTGTGTGTGTGTGTGTGTGTGTGTGTGAGAGAGAGAGAGAGAGAGAGAGAGAGAGAGAGAGAGAGAGAGAGAGAGAGAGAGACAGTTCGCATCAATCAATAAGTAGTCTCCACTATGAATGAATTATCTGTCATATTTGTTTTTGCGAGCGAAGACGCAATAGGTTATTTAGTGGAATTTTATGTCCGTTCCCTGCCCACACGTGGGCCCGTGGAACATCCCACTATAGGAGCACTTTTGTCTCCACTCACCGAGGACCGGCAAAAAGAAAAAGAAGAACTGGCAACAATGTCGTTGTGGAATAAGAGCGGAATATTTTATGTACAAACTGTGATGTAAGTTCAAGGTGTGTCTCTGCCGCACATACGCAAGCACACCGAATATGTACAGTGTGTACAGTGTGAGCGAATAAGAGCGCTTTCAGCGGATGGTTGGTGTAATGGCGTTGAACTGCTGGACTGTACAAGCCTTAATCTGATTTGATAAACAAAGTAATAAAAATAAAAATAATCTGATTTGGTAAACAAAGTAAGAAATTGTCAGGAATTGTTGCGGAGCTTGTAAGTAACCGGACTTGAGTGGCAGTGTACTGATGCCACCTCTTTTCTCTTTTTTTTTTCTTTTTTTTTTATACGACCACTGTCAATTCGTATGTCCTTATTGAATCCCTCTTCCCTTTAATAGGCTGACAATTTGTCTCAGAGATTGCATGCCGTTAGACTCGTTACTGAACCCCTCTTTCCTTTCTTTTTTTTTCTTTTTTTCTTCTTTTGTCTTGTTCTCTGCGTTGGTTTCCAGAAATTTCCGCCACGAGAAGACCAAGAAGAAGCGCGGATCTTATAAGGGTGGTATCATCGATACCAAGAGTTATTCTATCAAGTTCGAGAACTCCGACTCGGAATAAGAAATTGATGGATCAATCGGTGGACGGACGGACGGACGGACGGGTGGGTGAAGAAAGCAGCCCGTGTGCAATTGGCAGCTCCGACGTCGCCACGTCCTGCCAGGATACTTGCAATTGCATTGCCCCTAGCTTCTCCAAGGCCGCGTTTGTTCTTCTCTGCCACATAGCTGAAGCTTTTCATGGTTGGTGAGCTTGGTGATGTGTTCGCGCCCGTGTTAACCGTGCACATTCATTCTAGTGATTGTCTAGTGATGTTCCAGTGATAGCGGGTTTGAACAGTGTCGTCAACATCAATACTATGTTGTCAACATCGCTCTCGGTCGTATCGTAAAGTACGATGTAAACCGTCTGTCGGTAGCCATAACAGTTAGCGAACTCAAGCTCACGGTTCTGTTGATCTGGGCGCTGTCTCCGAGAGAGACTCGGTGAAATAGAGACATGTCTGTGAAGATGCGGACTACCTGCACCTGGACAGACAGAAAGACCCTATGAAGCTTTACTGTCCCCTGGGATTGGGTTTGGGATTTCCCTGCGCCGCTTAGGTGGAAGCTTAGAAGGTCTTTTTCCGGAAAGAGTGGAGCCATCTCTCTCTCTCTCTCTCTCTCTCTCTCT